CGATCGTTGAGGCCTTTGTCAATGAAACATTCGAGGGTCTGTCCGACGAGGAGCTTTTGGGCGCGGTTATCGGTTATGCGACACACAAAGTGGCGGAAGATGACGCCAAAGCTAAAGGTTGGGTGACTGACCCAGTCCCTTCTGATGACGATCGTGTTTTGCATGAAGATGACGACGTCGTCATAATTAAAGAAAGCGATGTCGTCCGAGCATTGGAAGAGAAAGAAGAGGACGTCATTCAGCGCTTAGGCCAAAGGTTGATTGAGCATATGGACGCTGTTGACAAGGACAAGGCTGAGACCGAGGATCCTCAACTCTCCAATGTAGGAGGGGCGTCGTCGTCTGGGACCAAAGAAAATTAATGTTTTTAACTTGTTTTGTCGTTTGTTTGCCTTTTTCTAGGAATGTACTGACAATATTTGATTTTGGAATGAAATATTAATGTTTGATGAATGAAATATTTTCATGAATGCTTTATCGTGACTTATTATTGTAACAAGTCAGAGTATGTCGGAAAAAGTGAATAAGTATTTATCAGGTTAAAGTTTCCGACATAACATTGATGATAATTTATGTGAATTACTGACATCGGTGTAACTTTACAGTATTTCCGACATCAATAACTTTATCGGAACAAGTTTCAACAAACTCGTTTTTATTGAAAACATTCATTGTGCAAGTCCTTGAATGTTTCAAAGAACTTAAGAATTTTATTGTTAATTGATCAAATCAACGTCAGGATTTGATATCACATTTTCGGTTAAATTTTTGGTGTCGGCATAATTTATAGTTCGTCCGACATCCGCAAACTCCTTATTAGAACAAGTCATAAAAGACTTGCTTTTTACTGTAAACGCTTATTGCAAGCTCATCAAATCAACGTCGGGATTTGATATTATAGAGCGTAAGCCTCCCCAAACCATCTTCAGGGCTTGGAAGTATCTAGCTTTGCTGCGTTTGGCTAGGTCATACCATCTTCAGGGTATGAAACACGTTCAGCCTTAGCAACGAGGACCGATTTATTGTGGTCCGGGTGATCGAACAAATTACAGAGGTTCGTCACACAAACTTTATTGAAAGCAAAACATGGTTCTTGTACAGAAGTAGGACAAAAACTATTTTACATGTCAGGGACAGGATCTTGGCCATCAGATTTATTGGTAGTATTTCTTCAGGTATGTCGTATGCCAGGGATATTGAAGGGGAACACCGTCTAACGTCTCAAGTCGGTAGGTGCCATTAGAGATCAGACAATTTACTTTAAAGGGTCCTTCCCACTTTGGTTGTAACGGGCCGACATTGGCGCCAGTGACTCTTTTCAGAACAAGGTCTCCTTTGATAAATGAGCGTGGCTTGAGTCTTGAGTTTATGTATTTTTCACTTCGTCGTTTATAAGCGGCATTGAGAACTTCGGCGTCAGCCCGTAATTCATCGACCAAATCGAGACTGGTTTTCAAGTTTGTTGGGTTGGTTTCTTCGGAGAAGTGAGTGATCCGATATGTCGGAGAGGCAAGTTCAACCGGTATCACAGCTTCAGTTCCGTAAGCTAACGAAAACGGAGTTTCTCCAGTTGAATTTCTTGTCGTCGTCCGATAAGACCAGAGGACATAAGGCAATTCATCTGGCCATGATCCTTTTGCAGCTTCAAGTCGAGTTTTCAGGCCATTCTTGATAATCTTGTTTACAGCTTCTATCTGTCCATTAGCTTGTGGGTGATAAGGTGACGAAAAGAAATGCTTGATGCTGTAGTCTTCACAGAAACTTTTAAATCGCTTGCTTTCAAACTGACGACCGTTGTCGGTTATAATAGAGTTCGGAATTCCAAACCGACAAACGATTGATTTCCAGACAAAATCCACCATTTTTTGCTCCGTAATGGTTACAAGGGGCTCAGCTTCAACCCACTTGGTGAAATAATCGGCGGCTAAAATAGCAAACCGAACTCCCCCTTTTGCTGTTGGAAGTGGGCCGATCAAATCAATTCCCCATTTTGCAAACGGCCATGGACTATATATCGACTTAAGGAGTTCAGGATGTTGGTTAACGTTGGGAGCGAATATTTGGCACTTATGGCACCGTCGCACCCAATCCGTAGCATCTTTCCTAAAGGTAGGCCAGTAGTAGCCTTGTCGGAGGATTTTGTGAGACAAAGTTTGAGCTCCCTGGTGAGTACCACAGACTCCTTCGTGTACTTCTTGTAGGATTCGTTGAGCATCAACTTCTGACAAACATTTGAGCAATGGGGTAGAATACCCACGTTTATATAACGTCCCTTGATCAATGGTGTAATGAGCAGCACGAACACGAAGGGCGCGAGCTTCTTTCGGGTCTTCAGGTAAGGCCCCGGTTTGAAGATAATCAATGATCGGATCCATCCATGTAGGATCTGAAGTTAATGGGGCAGCGTCAACCATGATGACGTCGGTAGAGACTGTTGATGAAGTCGTCTGTTGGGTGATTTGCACGAACTCAACATTATTCAAGTCGGTTGATGAGGCTAATCGTGAAAGAGCATCTACCTGAATATTGGATGACCGAGGTATATGCTCCAACGTCATTTTAAACCGTGCCAGCTTCTTTTTAATGAGATCAAAGTAAGGCAAAAACCGTGGTTCTTTGACTTCATAAGTACCATTGATATGGCTGACTAGTAACTGAGAGTCGGAAAATATC